ACTCTACAATGAGAAGAACCTCCTTAGTGATATGAAAGCCACCTGTGCTTCCTTTATTCTCAGCTGCACCACAGCCTGATTCCCCGTTGGTCTCATTAATTACTTTCATTTTCTGGACATATTGTTTTTATTACCTCTAAGCCAAAATCATGAGACATAAACACTGAAACATGCTGTAAGTTGATCGGTTTGTGTGTAATTAATCTATATACCAAGTTGTTTTTAAATTGAATTGATGAAATTTTAAAACAATACTGAAATAGCTGACATGTTATTGTGATAAACACTGCACACCAAGCTTTCAGCTAGGAATATTTCATATCTTTAGGCTTTGCGCGGCATGGGGGGTCCGGGGGTATTCGCTCCCGGAAAATGTTTTATTTTAAACTCTCTGAAAGGCTATTTTCTGTGTTTTGAGGTGGAATGCAGTGAACTTTTTGTCTTTGTTACAACACTACTTTTGTCCTGATTATGCAAGCTTCACTGGAGGTGGAAATTTCAATAAGGAAGACATGAGATCCTTATAGGTACAATATTATGATTCATAGGTTAATTCAAACAATCAGAAATTTTAATGTTACGTTCACACTGCAATCTGTGCAGCAAAAAAACACCTGCTGTGTCAGACGTGTGTGTCAAGTGCATCTTGACACACGCGTCAAGTAAAGTATGTACAGATGCGTCTGATGCGTCTGCTGCTCCTGTGTTCAATGGTTCAAAGCAGCTTTGCTATATTTGCTGAGATAAGATGGTAAAAATTAGTTTTAATATATTTTTAAGTGAGAAAGTCCACCTCAAAACATTGCCCGTGCAGTCAGTTCATCAAGATTACTATCCTGCCTTAAAGTATTATTTTGCAGATGTAGCCACTCAGATCCCCACATACAGATGGTGCTCTGTCCCTGGGAATCCCCAACAGCAGCTGCCTCAGGCCTGGTCGCCACTTGGGGATTTTCCTTTACTGTTCATGGCAGCTAGAAGTAGATGTTGACGTTTTTCAGTTTTATGGTAAAAACTGTACGCACCAGAATGATAAAAGCAAACATTTTGCCAGCAGGTTTTCGACATTTTAAGTTGATTTGGCCAGTAAAGGCCTGTTTATTTAGGCAATAAACAGTTTCAGTGGAGTGACCATAATGCTCTGCATCAGCGGCGCTGTGTCTGTCTCCCTGCCAGCTCCCAGATCAGTTTCTCTGATTGGTTGATATGGTGCATCGAGTAACAATTTTGTGAAATTTTGAACATTTGAACAAATTTTCTGGGGGGAAATTAGGGTGTACCAAAGCCGTACCTCCCCAAAACAGGGTGTACAATTTGTCATATATTTAGCAAAGGGCGTACACTGCAAAAAATCGAAATCTAGATAAGTCATATTTTCTTAA